ATTAAATATAATACATATTCTTGTCAACAAACTTTTTTTCGGGTTCTGTCAGCTGTTTTGGAGGCTTTTGAAACTTCATCATTTTCCAATCAGTTTTTGGTGATTATAATCAATCAGTGTTTCTTTCTATAATTTTACTTCTGGTTTTTCTTGCGTGTTTTGGCTGTAAAATATGATCCTTTATTTGAAAAAACCAAATTTGTTCTGGTTGAATTAGCATAAATTTGAAAACTTGCTCTATTTTTTCCAATCTTGATTTTTTTTTATTTTTATTAAACTTGTTAGTACAGTGGTGGATTTTCGTGGTCTTAGTCCACACCAGTGAAAATAGGAATATTTGCGCAGTGGCTTTAGTTAGATAAAATTTTGTTATGCTGAGCAACCAAACTTTGTTTGACATCTAGTCTTTTTAAAAGTAATAGTTTTCTATTGCTAGGAATTTGACATACTTGGTCATTTGTCTCAGCTTCTGTATCCTCTAGGTTTAGTATTACATGTTTTTCAAATTATATTGAAAAGTTTTGTAGTATTTTAATAAATACATGATTCGTGTATATTATTGAGTCTGATGTATGCATTTCTTGAACTTTTTCATGATGAGTAATTTTAGATCTGTTATGCTCGGTAATCCACTGTATAGCGCCTAATCTGTCTAGTGACAGTCTCGGCGATTGTTTTTTGTTCTAGTAGCGTCTGTCGTATACTTAAAAATTATTGGGATTCTTTTGTAGACATTCTTACCGTCTTGGTAGAAGTTTTGGCGATTTTATCAGATTTAATCAGCGAAACATCTAATTAGTACGGGCGTTGTTGGTCTGTTGGATGTTGTTCCGTATTTTACAGTATCGATAATTGTTGTTGTTGTGAAGATTAAGGTTGCAACATGAAATTTGCGCAGATGGCGAAGGTGCTATTCTATGATTGCTTAATCTCAGGTGTACTCTCAACTACAGTTTCTTTCAACTTGCTGTCATTGCCATTTCTATTAACTGATTTTTTTTTCATAATAGTTATCCTGGATTCATGTTTTTTTACGGATAGTCACTGTACTTTTTTTTCTTCGGTAATGCAGTTCTTTTCAGATTGATTAATAAATTTGATTTTTCACCCCGTGGTGTCCTTGATCCAAATTTTATCAATGAATTAAATCCTTTGAAAAAAACAGTGAACTGTGGTACTTCAGAACTGAGGGAAGTAATCGATTTTTTTCAAGGCCATCTTCCTTGCTTCAGTACGGTATTTCGGGGAACTACAGTTGAAAACTGTTGAGCATGAAGCAGCTTTTTTTAGCGCAGGGTTTTATGTTGTCTTACCTATAATGTTCTTAGGTGAAACTGCACGAGATTCTTCAGTAAATAGCTTTGAGATGTTTGAGGAGGACTTGTTGGAGGATAGGAGTTCTCGTGGTAGATGACTCTTGGTTTATAACACAGTTTTTGACTGTTTGCGCTGGTTTAGGATGAGTTGTTTCGCTGAACTAACTGGGGGTACTATTGTGATCAATCACTGTCTGCTTCAAATATTCTGGAAAGTTCTAACACTCATGATCAGTTCTTTAAAGCGGGCAAAATTATTTTTCCTATGCAGGTCAAAACAGGATGTTTGTATAGTTTTTTAGAGTCTGTTTTATTAGTTTTTCCTTGAGGATTTTGTAGCTTTGATTAATTCTCCCCAAGTGATCATGATCTAAAAACTGCACTGGCGTTGTTACTCGCCTCTAGTTGCTCTAGTGTGAACAGTTTTGATGCTCTGACAACACGTCAAGTTGTAGACTTCCTTTTGCTGTTGTGAGTAAGCTGACATATTTCGCTAGATTTTGACTGCTGGAAGAGTTTTAAGTTTAATATGGGAGTAATATCGGTCGTGGTAGCATTTCTGTTCTTTCGAGTAGATGGCATTTATTTCACAAGTGAATCGGTTCGCGTTACGAGAGTGAGCAGTTTTAAACTAAATTTATGTTTCGGCCGTGTTCTAAGCGTCTGTTAAATTGAGCGTACATCAGAACTGTGTCTGTTTTTTAACATCGGAAGTTGTTGGGCGTCGTCACTGTTAATATACTGTACTTGTTTCAGTGAGGTCTCAAAGGGGAATAACAATCGGTCTGTTTGAAAAAACTGATTGCAAGTGCGACATAATTACAGTAGAAGGACTGCACAATTGAGTTTATTTGGATGGTTTATGCACATAGGTTACTTGGTGATGTTTCATTTCTTGGTTATAAAACAAACAGTTTTTGGACCTACTTGTTGCTGGATAAACAAACTGAGGAAGAACACTGATGTAGCGACCAGGATTGGAATGATCACCTGTTGTTAAGGATAAAAGCAGGGACAGAGAAGAACGGCTTACGTTGTCAGGCGAGCGTCAATAATGGATTATTAAAAAAACCTTTCTCGTCGTCTGCATGGAAACGTACAGGCTTCGTGATTCCATCCTCTTTTTTCTTATCTTCAAATTCTTTGACATATAAAGCTTTGGTTATTTTCCAGAAATTGCTTATACATTAGCCGGTGAATGGCACA